CTGGAGCATGGAGCTGCTGATGCAAAGTGGCTCTATGGAAATAATCTGACTGACTCATTAATGATAGACTTTGGCAGGGAAGTGTTAGACATCTAGGTACCCTGAGAACACTGTGGTGCCCCCAGCCTCATTTATAGACTGTGGTGCCCAGCACCTATATAACAGCCAAAAATGCTGATGTAGAACAACAGCTAACAGTAACACACTATTATTATTATTATTATTATTATTATTATTATTATTATTATTATTATTATTATTATTATTATTATTATTGTGCGTGTAGCTTAAATTAAATTATTTTGGAATATCTGAAATAATGCAAAAAAAAGAAGCAAAATGCTTTCTGGATTTTGGGCTGATCTCTATATTTGGAGTCAAATTTAATTGTTGATGGAAAGTGTTTTTAGATCACAGGTGTCATACTAAAATTGAAGTTTATGTGTAATTAAATGATGCCACTGCTTAAATAGCTAAAAGAAAAATCAGGGCATTCTCCATGACATGTTTTTTTATATTTTTTCATCAATCAATGTCATGTGTCTGGACTGCACAATGGTGAAATCAAAAGCACTGTTGGCTTGCAGCAAGGTGGTTCTGGGTTTGATTCCACCTTCCTCTTTCAGACATTTCTACATGTTTTTCTGAATCCTACATTGTAGCATGGCATAGGCAATTCACGTTTGTAGTTTAAAGAACACCTGCTTGCTTTGATGATTTCCTTTAGCTAACCAATGAGTGTTTGTGTAAGATGACTCATCAAATTACACTAGTTTTCACTAGATGTGGATGGCGCCAATGATCTGCATTAGAAGGCGCACATGATGTGAAATAAATATTTATAAATATTAAACCAGGGGTTACCAATTAAAAATCATTGGGGTCCGTAAAAAGAAAATCATCAACCAGTAAAGGTCCGGAGATATTTTTAATGATCTGTTACTTTAAACAGAATTTAACACTGCAATAAAATGAGGTGTTTATGCATCCATGATATACACTGAATTTTTAGATAAAAAAATATAATAAAAAAAAAAATCTAATTTTTCCATTTTAAAATCTAATGGGAGCGATATAATCTATATATCAAACTAAACAACTGTTTAGTTTGATATATTGACAATTTCCTGACTCACTTTATTTCCTTTCTTTTTTTCTTTTTTCTGGCTTAATAAGAGCAGTGGGCTTTAGGCTGCCCTGCAAGGCTTTAAACCTGGGTTTGAATGGAGACAAATCCATTCTCAAGCACATATCAAGGAGCTCATTTTGAGCTCATTTTGAGCCGACAGATCATAAAGCCTCCTTTTCACTGATGACAGACTTTTATGTGTATATTAAGCTGCTGCTACATGTCAGAATATTTCCTAAGTTTCAATTGTATTATATTACTGACCAGTTGAAATTTAGAGCTATTCCACTGAGATTTGGAAATTATGTGGCCATATCTTAGAATAAAATGAGAATGTAAAATTTTACAGTATTTTGTAACAAAACTATTTATTGTGTTTTTTTTACATTTAATTTAAGATTTTGGCAGGATAGAATTAATCATTTGCCTAAAAAACAATCAGCACTAAATAAATATCATATATACACATAAGACTGATATAAGCAGATACAAGTTACTTTCAGAGGAAAAACAACAATATTTACTTATCCTGCATTTTGCATCTCTCTAATTTGCCTTGGTAATGTCATTTGTAATGCTGTTTGGTAATGTAAAAAAAATCAATCTCCTTTTATTTCCCTTTTAAATATATTGGCTTATGAGTGCTTACTTTTGTTCATTCAGGCCTTTAGAGCTGTACGACTACGAAGTGTCTAAGGGAGAAGGGTTGTTTATTCTATTACATGTTTATATATTGGTTATCTATTTATGTAATAATTTCCAAACATGTCAACATTTGTTCTCCATACTTTCTGCTATCCATTTGAAAAATTGGCCTTCGTTTAATCTTTTTTTTTTAAGCTGCTTTATTATCAAAGCAATTAAAATCAAAACTGTTTTTTTAAGAACCACAAACTGTATCTCATTATAATGTAAATATATCGTTTGCTAGATCTTGAACTGTTAAATTACGTTTGCTAACAACTGATATATTTACATTGTAATGAGATGCAGTTAATAATAATAATCTACATATATTAGTTGTTAGATCTTGAACTGTTAAGTTATTTTTGCGAAAAATGTGTGGTCAGAACTTTACATAAAATTTTTAGTTACAATTTGTGTGCTTTTGTTAATAACAATGTGATTTAAATAGAGCATTTGTGTCTGCAAAGTTTCAAGAGCTTCTTTATGGCTAAAACTTCTGCCTCAGTGCAGCTGTGGATCAGTTCCTCTGCAGCTGAGGGAGGTTTTTGTACGACGTTGTATCACTGTGTGAACGGTGTGCTATAATCGTGCTGACAGTAATAAACTCCTGCATCTTCAGCTTGAACTCTGCTGATGGTCAAAGTGAAATCGGTTCCTGAATAACTACCACTAAAGCGATCAGAAACTCCAGTCCAACGTGAGCTAGCATCATAAATTAGGAGCTTGGGAGCACCTCCGGGTTTTTGAAGGTACCACTGTACATGGTAGCTAACACCTGAACTTGCTTTACATTTGATGGAGACTGTCTGTCCTGGAACAACAGCCTGAGCTCTTGGAGTCTGAGCGAGGGTGATATCTGCTGAGGAACCTGAGAGAGATGAATGAGACAAAAATTAGATGTAAGAAAAAAATCAGTTAAAGTTCGGCATCCACGTTCCTTCTACATCACAGCAAAACATCCTTATGGAGGATCTGGTTATATATCATACAGAATGTTTACTAAACTCATTCTCACCCTGAACCAGGAGCTCCAGGATGGTCAGCAGTAGAGTCAGTAACATCATCATTGTGCTGCTGGTGGTTCAGTGGCTCTGAAAGACCTGGACAGCCTCTAATCAACACTGACCTCTTAACAGCTGGGAGCAGAGAGGCAGGACACATATGCAAACACACAGTCAGTCACATGGTGCTGAA